ACGAGGACGTCATCTTCAATGCGCACACCGCCGAACTCGAAGAAACGTCTTATCATAGCATCATTAAAGAAATCCTTCTGGTCAGGATTAGCCAAGGCGCGTTCCAAAAGCTAAGAAAAAAATTCTAAAAATATTGACGTTTTCTTATATATATGCAATTTGATAATATGTAATTGTACATTACATATTACATGTCATGACGTTAATATATAGCCCCATCTGTTGTCAAATAGTTACAACAATACAATTATCGATCTCATAGCGTTTATGTAACAATAAAACTTTAAGTTGTTGTCAATACAAAACAAATTAGCGATAAACAAACTGGAAATATCATCGACAGCTTTTAAAACGCCATCTATACTCCAATAATTAACATTTAATTTAGGAAGAACGCCATCTGTATAAGTTACAAATAGAAGGATACCATTAGTCTGAAAAAGCAGGTGCGTTCGTCATCTGTGGCACTTATTTTACATAGACAGTTCTGTCCTCCTTATCACAATTAACACAATCGACATTTTCTTTATATTCATTATCTGAGATCAGCGAAACGAGACAACTACAACAACAATAATATAAATATATTATTGTTGTTGTAGTACAACAACAATAATATAAATATATTATTGTTGTTGTAGTTGTCAAATATATTATTGTTGTTATAAACGAAATAGCTTATATTTATGAGTAGGTAATTCAATAAAGTTTAATAGTCAAACAGTAAGCAACAGCTATATTTTAAAAGTTAACATGGATTTACGCCCAAAAAATAATAATGATTATCGCTTAAGCCCCTAAAATCGATTGTTTAGGAACTTAGGACGTATATAAAATAAGATCACTATTTGCACCTAAGTTTCAGGCGCAAAGCAATACATAGTCGAGTTATTGTTTATTACTATAAAAACTTTCTAAATGTGATTTTTTGTAATATTTAAGAAGTAAAATTTTATTGTGTAAATTTATTTGTCATAAACAGTACAGTTACGATGCCATATAAACTTTGGAATGAGACAAATTGTATAATTTCATGTTTATGTCACTTTCAATGTTCGAAGTATGAATTTTTGCATACTTTCTGGTGATAATCCCCATTGTTATATAATATTCATAACTTATTATTTAGTTTGATTGGAACTAGATGTGTACATCGTATTAAACAGTCTCGCCGTTGTTGAAGTTCTAGAAGAAAGTAAATAGGTAATAAAAAGATAGAGATTTTACATTTTTTCAATCCTCTTTTACATTTAATAGGGTTACATGGATTTTTTTGCATTGCTTTTCGTTCTATCATGTCTCCCTTCTTTGTTTCATAAGCTTTTCCCTCGTCTTTTAATTTCTTATTATTTTTCGGTCTATTTATTCATTTTTCTTTAATAATTTTACAATTGCTTTCATAGTTATGTGACGTAGGTTTCAACGGTTGACATTTTAAAAGGTTCAGGCTGAGTATCGAATTGTGATGCAGAGCGTGAAGCTACAAGTGCTGTGGCGTAGATTTTAATTAGGGACTGGTTTAAGGTTTCTGGCCAAGAACCAACCTACGATGTGAACTCGGGGACCTGTGTAACGTAGATTTTGGTGGATGACAGTTTTAAGGCTCTAGGTTGAGTATAGGCATTGGACAGACTATAAATAACAATCCTCTGGATACGTCGATGCGTGCAATATAGAGTGCAATATATTAGAGGCTGAGCGTCATTAGAATCCATGTTTGCTGGCTGGTTGATTAAGTTCTGCGGAACGTTTTTCATCGGGCGGTAGAAGGCACTATGCTGCAGGCTCAGTGGCATAGAAATCCATGGATAATATATTATTGTAATTTGGTTTTCCGTTTGCTGGAAGAATATAGGTTACAGTCAGTCTGATCGGAACTAACGAGGAACAACGGTTTGATGTGCTGAAGGCATTCATCGTAAGAAGGCATAAGAGTGTCAGCGTGTTTATTATTTCTATGGAAATAATGTTGATCACTGTCACTTATCATGGGCCTCATAAAAAAGCTCTAAGTCACTCAACGTGCTATGGAGCGAGCAATGCTGGGCATTTCTCTACGTGATCGAATCAGAAATGAGGAGATCCGTAGAAGAACGAAAGTCACCAACATAGCTCGAAGGATTAGCAAGTTCAAGTGGCAGTGGGCACGGCACGCAGCTCCACAGCTCGTAGAACTGACGGCCGTTGGGGCAGAAAGATTCTCGAATGGAGACCACGAACCGGAAGGCGTTTAGGGGGACAGGCCCCTATTAGACGGACAGATGACCTGGTAGAGGCGGCGGGTAACTAATGGATGCACGGTCTTGAAATCTTTGGGGGAGGCCTATGTTCAGCAGTGGACGTCTTCCGGGTGTTATGTAAACTCTAACTAGTTCTTAGTAAGCCTGGCCTGCATCAATGCCTTGACGCCATAGAGTCCAGACATGAGGTTACATTTCCTGTCCGATAACGCGCTCTGCGCCGGAGCATTGATGCATCCTGACAATTAGCATTAAGATAGATTTAAGACGGTAATAACATGTACTAAAACTGTGAATTAAAATAAACTTTTCTTTTATTAAAAATTAAATTTTTTTTATGAAAGCTCTCCGAAAGAGCTTAACTCGGGCGATATGATGATGATGATGTTGATGAATGTTGATCTTATTTGTAGCAGTTACTAAGTTTTTTTGAGGTGTAAATGATCCATTGTTTATGTTAATTTATTTGTGAAAATAAAATGTTTTATTGGTCGTATTTCGCTATCACTATCCTCAATAATGGTGCTGCTGTTATTTGGCCAAAACTAATGTGATAGTCACAAAATTTGTTTTGTTTAATTTGCTTTCGTCCATCTTTTCACTAGTCATTCACGTTGTGTAACTTAAAAGGCTTTTTGTAAGTGTTGCACGTAAAAAAATACAAGAGCTTGCACCGGCGATCGTTGGCCTGCGGCATATCAAAGCATGCGAATGGATATTGACTGACTTATAGGTACTGACCACCTGCGGCTGTTTCTTTTTGTCTATTGATTTTAAATTTAATTAGGTGCGTAGGAGAGCAAACATCATCTCCCCAACACATGTGTTTCAATGTTCAGAGTTTTAAAACGGATTTATACTTTATTACCACCGCATTAAAGTCGAAAATAGTCCACCGCATAACGTCAATAACTAATGTAAGTCCTACAAATTAAGATATTGTTTTATAGTTGGCGAAATATTATTTGCACCGATTCGGCTTATCGCTTTATCTTTAGAATACATAGGACAAAAGAGTGAGCCGTCTCGGTAACGCAATTGTACCTATAGTGCAAGCAACTAGTTTAAACAATTTTACGCATTAGCACTTAATTCTAACCTTGATAGATCTTTATGCGAAACTAACTTTGTTGAATTAGTACGAAAAGAGTCGGCAGTCGGTACTTTACAAAGTACCTACGGTATTAAAAAAACTACCTGATAAGTAAAAAAATAATCATTATCAACCCACCATACGTCCCACTGCTGGGCACGGGTCTCCTCGTTATTGTTACGCAAAATCAGAGTAATTGACATTTTGTACTAGCAAAAAAGAACTTCAGGTGCCAATATCTCGAAAATGCTGATGCGTTACTTATGACAAGGAGGGCAGTTTTTTTTATAATATCTAGTAACGGGATGAACAAGTCGTGCACCTGATGGTAAGCTACACGCCTCTCCATAACCATTGCACTGCCAGTCAGTTTTAAATCGCAAAGATCTGAGGGGCATTGCCACTGCGCCCGTCACCCTGAGATACAAGTTGACAAGTCCCATGTGTAATTTCACCAGCACCATTATCCTTCAAAATCGGAACACAGTAATGCTTGGCGACAGAAGTAGGTAAGGTGGCAGTACTTCCCTGGACGAACTCTTTTACAAGGAGCTCTACTGTTACTAAATTCTAAGTTCACAAATCGTTTGTAATATCACTTACGGGTTTAATAAAATAACATCCCGGCTCGATAGTTATCATCATGCCAGCTTGCAGCATCCTTGCGGTACGCAGACGGTTGAGGGGAGGTTTGGGGCGGGGCGGGCAGTGCGGCAGATAGCCGCCTACGTCGTGCACGTCCAGGCCGATCAAATGGCCGAGGCCGTGCGGTTGCAGGATACAATTTATGCCCGCCTGCGAATATAATTATTAAACAACAAATGGGCATGCAGGGGGCACTGAATAGCCGACTATTTTCAAACATTAGAATAGAATCAGCTTTATTGCACAGAAAATAACAGTGACAATACAAAACATAGTTATAAGTACAATAGGAGGGCTTATCGCTAGGCAGGGATCTCTTTACTTGATTTTAAAATCGGGACTTAATCGTCTATTTACATATTTTATTACCTCTACGTTTCGAACGTTTTGCAACGTCCATGATCTCGCAGGGTCCCTTCGAGACCATGGACGTTAGAACACGTCCCTCTTGTCCGCGTTTGACGTTTCTGTCACGTTGAATCCCTATAAATAGACGGACAGCCAATGGCTACTGTGGCAATATCCCTACGGGTACTGTCTTTCGGTAAAAATACGAAAACACTTAACTCAAAATATTGTATCTTGGCTTAGAAACTTGCTAAAAAAATCAAGTATAAAACCGGGGCCGTACCATGAACTCTTATTACGATTCAATTTTGGACCTAAAATGAATCGTTGTGAGACAGCGCTACATGAAGTGCATATCACCATCCCGCTTTTTTGTTGTTACAAACCTATACTGAACTGTAATAAGAGTTCATGGTGTACGGTCAGGCCTCCAACTTGTCTGTGGTGTGTTGTTAGTATAATGAAGTGTTCCTAGTAATGACAATTTATGTGACGTTTTTAACGTGTTTAATTATTGATTTCAGTTTTTATCAAACCACAAATAAGCGGCGGCTCTGCACCGAGAGTTACATTCGAAATCACTTTACCTGTGATAGACAATTCTAGTTCTTTTTACAAGAAGGTGATATTTACCTCCATCATTTTTTCAACATCGCCAACAAGCATATTTCCCTTCGTCAAATGTTCGAGCATCACACGGTTAGCTTTCAAGTGCATGTCGAGCCACATCACGCCGGGTTTGGCTTCCCTAAAATACATAGACTAGTAAATATTTGGCAACAAGTAATTTTTTGGGTAGGTTATGGGCACTGAAAATGTTAAAGTCTAACTGACTTTAACATTTGACTGAGGAACATCGACATAACAACATAACAACGACTGAGGAACATCTCTTTTCATTAGTTTAGAAAACGCTTTACCTCAAGAGCAGCCATGGTAACCTAATGATTCGGTCTACCGCCTCTTAAGCAGAGAGAGGGTCATGGGTTTGAACCTGGACGTGCACCTCGTGAGTTTTTCGGAATTTATGTGCGAAATTTTAATTTGAAATTTACCATGAGCTTTTCTGCAAAGCAATTTAATAAAGTGTGTGAAGTTCCCAATCCGCATTGTGCCCACGTTGCACAGTCTTTTTGAACCCCAATTTGCCCTGTTTGTGTGACATGGCCTTTTTTCCAGATTCCTGTAGTTTGAACTAATACAAATTGAAGAGTAGAACTCCAGTGTGACAAATATTTAGTTTCAGAGAAAAAAAAAATTAAAATCGACGTGATTTTCGTATGGATAAACATAAAAAAAATCATAATTTGTAACATTTGAAAATTATTAGCCAACCGATTAGTCTATTGTCGCATAGAGATCTCGCGCTTTATGTCGCTTTCACGCAAGTCGCGCAATGTTGTGCTAACCCTACAACAAAGACATAGGTTACAAAGTTCTTTCATTTTTTTTCGTTTTTATTTTTTGACTTCAATAATTCGCCCTGTTAGTTGGAGATTTTTACACCAGCGGTTGCTTACGCTGTCTTCTATGCACCCTAAAATCATCATGGATTAATTCCATGGATTATTGGAATCATTAAATTGTGTGTTACTTATAGTTTTATCGAACGACTAAGTCGGTTGGTCAATAATTATCAAATATTAAAAATTATTAAATATTATATATTTTTTATATTTATCCTGGAAAAAATAACGCCGTTTTTTTTTTTCTGTAACTACACGCGATTTTTTAGTAATATAACTTCGAAAGTAAATTATTTGCCTACGGTCTATAATAGTACACGTTCAACAATAGAGTATGCCACTAACGACGTGTGTTTATTGTTGTATTTACGGTTGTTAGAACAGAAGTGCCTCAAATTCAGAATTGTTCAGCATTTCATTTTTATTTCATAATCATACTCACGTAATCGAGATAACAATCCGCGATCCTGGTATAAAAATATCAATACATAAGTACTGCATTTAACAAAGCCTATTTCAATATAACACGAAAATACTGCAATGAACGCCTTATTTTTTAACCGACTTCAAAAAAAGGAGGAGGTTCTCAATTCGTCTGTATGATTTTTTTTGTATGTATGTTACGCGATAACTCCGCCATTTGTGAACCAATTTTGATGATTTTTTTTGTTGGAAAGAATGTACCTCAGATGTGGTCCCATTTAAATTTCAAGAAAATATTCCACCTCTAAGGGTGGCAAACCAGGGGATGAATGACTTTTGAGGTCGGTTTTTTAACCAGAGATTAGGTTATTTCAAATTATATTTACAATCTGTAGGTACACCTAAATATTGTGACAACCCTACGCTCCAAGCTTACTGCCAGGATTGACGCGCTGAATAGCCGGGTATTGCGCTACATGTCCTATTTATGCTATGCCACACTTCCACTTTCTGTGATCCTGACTCCTGACACACAACTTTCGCCTCATCAATACGCATTAGTGCTTTCATACACGCTCGCCAAGTACTCTTGACCTAGCCTTTCTTGTATGTGGTGTGTTATAAAAGTAATAATAATGGTACGTGGCGAAAATTCCCCTACAGCGTACGTATTTCAACCAGATTGAGGATGTCCTTAAAAAGGCAAGGTAAAAAATAACAAGATGAAACGGAGGAGTGTGAATAAAGTCCTGAGAAGAGTGGAGGAAGCAAAGAGGTATGGAATCAAGAGTATAGTAGGTGGACGTGAAAAATATCACCGGTCTTATACAGCCATAGGCTGCAGTATTAAACTTAAACACTAAAGTGATATACGACGTTACGAGTTTTATGTTGGCAGTTGATTAGACTCACCTCATCACAACGTCTCTGGCAGCCAACACGGCCTCATAGACCAGGCGTTGATCGTCTGTAAACTTGCCGTTGGCTGGGAACGAGCACGTGATATCTGCCGCGTACCCTGCGTAACTGCCACCCATGTCGAATAAACTGCAAGAGTCGCAAAGACGAAATAATAATAACAACACGCTATTCAAATACAAGAATGTACGAAGTAAAGTCAAAGTTCAATTAAATTTTTGATACATGTCTGACTTGGAAGCCGCACTGGAAGGTGTTTGGTGCGCATTTTTCTCTGAAAAGGCATAAAAACTCTGGCCCAGAACATTCTCCATCCGATATTGGACTATGCAGATGTTTGCTTCCCGGATTTGTCAGTCACTGTGCTCAATAAATAGGAACGGTTCCAAAATATGTGTGTTAGGTTCATCCTCGTAAATTCCGTTCGACTTCGTAAATTTGATCGCGTCTCCCAATTTCGCGCATCAAATGGCTGCCCATCCACCGGAGTGGAGATCTTCATATCCTTCTTTACTCAATTCTATTCTAACCCTTTAGAGCCTTCTTATCTTAAAGCTCGCTTTACTTTCCACTCTTCTACACTCTGCCGTCTTCGCTCCTCTGATACTCTCATACTAAACCTGATCTGCACTGCGTCACGTCTAGAGATGGGTCATGGATAAATTTCATTGAGATAATACTCAGTAGAAAAATAAAGATGGATAAAAATCCATATTTATCAATTTTTACTCGATATTTATCCAAAAACGTGAACAAAATTTTTAATCATGGTTTATTATTTATATTTAGTAAAACAAAATATATTTTTGAGTTTAATGTAAATATTGATACAATTTAGTAGCATACACGTATAGTATATTGCTTGTTATGTCTTTTTTTTCTATACGCAGTGATAAAAAGAATCCTTTTAAGTAGGTACAGTAAATCCCTGTATTTTTGCGTGAACCTTATTATTATTTAAATGCGTAGTTTATTAAAAAAAAATTGTCTTCACACAATATTAATCAGCTGTGTAACATTTTGTATCGATTTTTTTTTCAAGTTACTAGGTTAGTCCGTTTATGTACATTTGTTCATATGGGTTTTTGGTTGTTCAATATTTTATTAAAAAAAAACTGTACATACTTCATTGGAAATACTTAAACGACAATTAATTCTAATGCAAAGGAAATTCAATTCAAAATCACTTGGCCACTATGCCAAAGTCTAAATTCGCTACCGAATAATTTACATGAGTGCGAAAGAGACGGAGAGAGACGCTAAGGAGAATTGTAAACACTTATTTTTTATATCATGAGTTTTAATTAATAGATTTTGTGTGTGAAATGTGTAAGAGAATCCTTAGGCTATTTCAAGTCCAAACATGACTTTATTTAGTACGCACTAGACCCCAAGACCATAATGTTGGGTCGCATTTTATTAACGCAGGGCAGCTCAAGTGTTACAGTTAAATTGATAACTTTCTGTCAATCGAATTTTCCATACCAGCCAACTTTTATATTGATAAAAGTTTAGGTGAGTATGTTGCAATTAGTTTACATTCCTACCATTTAGTGAGATGTTATGGACTCGAAAAACTTAGGTACTAAAGTAGTATTGTTACATAAAACGATGGCAAAATGAGAAGTAATTGTACGTAATTATTTAATAAAAATGAATTCTAATTAATTTTATTACAAAAAACACAAAAAAATAATATCCATGTTTTAGGATAAATACTCAATAAAAATGGATATTTATCCTTTGACCGATATTTGTCGGGTAAAAATCCATCTCTAGTCACGTCAGGCAAGTGTGGTTCGATCCATCGGTTACCCGCCGCCCTTACCAGGTCATCCGTCCTTCTAGTAGGGGGTCGTGCTACTGAACGCCTTGGTTCGTGGTCTCCATTCGAGAACCTTTCTGCCCCAACGGCCGGGCCGTCAGTTCTACGAGCTGTGGAGCTGCGTGCCGTGCCCACTGCCACTTCAACTTACTAATCTTTCGAGCTATGTCGGTGACTTTCATTCTTCTACGGATCTCCTCATTTCTGGGGGTCTACTCTCGATCTCCGTCCGACATCCGTCCGAAACAATTACTGTCAAATAAGTAATATTCGACAAAATTAAAAGACAAGTATCACGAATGAAGCTTCATTCGCGTCACGCGTCTTTTCATTTGGTCAAGTATTGCTTATTTGGCAGTAATTGTTTCGGACGGATGTCGGACGGAGATCGAGAGTAGACCCCCTGATTCGATCACGTAGAAAAATGCAGCTCGTTATGTGACTTTGAGCTTTTTTATGAGGCCCATAGTAAGCACCACGTCTCAGAGCCGTAGGTCATCGCTGGCAACACACATTGCTCGAAGAGTTTTGTCTTCTAGGACTGCGGTATTGCGGACGAGAAGACGTCCCGGAGCTTCCCGAAAGCTGCCCGACCGTGTCAGATTCGACGATTGACCTATTTCTCGAAGTTGGCCCTACCTAATTGGACGGTTTGTCCGAGGTAGACATACCGAGGTAGGTAGGCTTAGTATACAAACCACATATCTCCGTTTTCAATACACTTCGAGTTGGGATGGCCAGCGTCTCCGTAGTGCAGAATGGCGGCGTTGGAGCCCGAGCAGCAGACACACGTGTAGGCCACATAACGGCACCCGCCCTCGCGGTAGCAGAAGTCCAGGAACACCGACTCGCATTGATACTCTCTTAGGCCTGGTTTAGTGTAAAGCATCACCTGGGGATATAAGTAAGAGTAAATAAAATAATAACTACTTTAAGGATACTTTTCAGTATTGTCACTAATCATAGTGATTGGTAAAGGTTCCCAAACTTTTATTTCTCGTGGACCACGTTCCAATTTTTTTGCTTAGACTTAGAATTTAAAATATTTTTTTATAGCTGACACAGTTTGGCTCCTCCCTTTTATAAGTGTGGCGTTCATTTTAAAAGTGAATTATATCCCTGTAACTGAATCGTGTTACTTATTCACTTTTATAATGAATATTTAGCAGTTTTAATTCCATGAATAAACAAGTAACGCTTTCTTTGGGGTTTAAGTGCAATTACTGGAGTTACTTCACTTTTATAGTGAAAGATCGCTTTAAATCGCAACGATCTGAGGGGCCCTGAGACTGCGCCCGTACCCTGGGATATAAGTTGACAAGTTCCATGTGCCTATAATTTACAAGCACCCTTACCCTTCAAAACTAGAATGAAGTAATGCTGACATTACTGTTTGGTGGTAGAAATAGGTAAGGTAGCAGTACTGGACGAATTCTTTCACAAGGAGCTCTAATGCTACTAAAAATATGTGTATAACGTTGGTTTTCAAGAATAATGGTCCATAATAAACATAGTTAATGTTTTGACTTCACCACTCACACATTCTGAATATCACACAATGCATGTATGTACATGTAATAAAGTACCGAACTGTCCATTGGTTAAAATTAATAAGTCAACGTATGAATCGTCCGCGTTGTACGCCAATTACGCCTCGGATTTTTTTAAACCATATTCCTGATAATTTTGATGTATTTTAGGTAGGACGCTCTTCTAAAACGCCAATAGATTAACTTTATCTATAAACTTGCTACACACTTTATGTATAGTTAATGTCGGTCCTAAATAAATAAAAAATAGTGATAAAACTGCTTTTAATTACCTGTTTGTGTGCGTCAGATGATACTTTGCACACATAACGTAGTAGTGTGATTTCCTCAGGGGTTTTAAAGACGCGACTGCAAATTAAATTCGGAATGACTTAGTCTTTTGGAATTAAAAGGACATGCATTAAAAAAACTTTGTGTCTACTTTCTTAGTTTTATCGAGTTTGTTGTTAGATAGAATATACTAGAGCGATAGACACGTAGCAGAAAAGTGTAAAATCGCTATATCACGGCGTGTGATTTTACAGAATTCCCCGCACGACCGATAGCCACACACCGGCCTCGACAACCATTTTTCTTGATGTATTGTTTTTCTAATGGCGCTGACATGTTGAATAATGATCAATAAATAAATAGATAGAGTTAACAAAAGTTTACGTAAAATTTTGGACATAATGTCCAAATTTGCAATGACGTTTCACAGGATTAAAAAGGTTCCTCATAAGTATTATAATTGTTTACTTAAAACTCGAACGACTCCAAAGATTGAACTTTAGAAAATAGCGTTATAAAATTATCGAGAACACAGAGTGTGTTTTAGATCTGTACTCGTAACATTCATTATCGTAATAAGCGACGAGTAATGTAGATACGTATTCAATGTGCGTATAGAGTGCAGACATCTGCTTAAAATACATCTGGCTAAAATTTAAATAATTATGAATTTCACAAAAATATTTTGTGGATAGACAGAATGGGTTTCCCACGTAATTGCGAATGCCGATTACGCGAATGACGATAATGCTAAGACGGTCAAGCTATAATGTGCGACGGACTATGTTCACGAATGGTCAGTTGCGCGAAGGTTTAAAAGCGCGAAAGTTTAATGACGATAGCACGCAGACGGTTAGACGAATTTACGAAACCTAGAATGCGCGAATGGTTAATCCTATGATGGTTCATTTGCTTCACGCAAGTTTTAATTGAGATGTCAATAGTCTTAATTTTTTTTAAGTTGATATTTTAACATTTTTATTTCAATTAATAGACCTCAAAACTTCGTGGAATTCAAACAAATTAATTCGTCGATGTGAATTATAACCTAATCAATAAAATGAAACTCGAAAAATATAATGAATTTACATCTGAAAACAGTTAGTGACTACCCTCGTCGTTCGAGTTTTCGCTGTCAACATAATGTTGCAAGCACAGACATATTATTATATCTATATGTCTGTGGTTACAAGCTTTTTTAATGTAAAGTCTTGAATGGTTTTCTGCCGTCTGCTAACTAAAACGAGAGACAAAATATTTTTTTGAGATATCATAAAAAACCATAACCCACTTTCAGAATATTGAAATGGTTTAATGATATTTCAGCTACACATCGTTAGGGTAAGTTTCGATACGTCGACGACGTTAACTAATTTTAACTGTTTTTAAAAGAGAATTTTGTGCTAATCTTTTGCTAATGGATATTTGACCATTTGTCACATCAAAGGTAAATAGCTTTAATAAAAAGTAGTTAATAGAATCAGCTTGTGTTATTTAACACGATCTTTCTGATTACATTAATATCGCCTTATGTAGTTAAACCGCAATCTATTGATAAGTGTCACAGTTATCGAAATCGCTTTTCATTCAAGACAACTCACACTTTAATCATGATCTATTGATTGCCATGAAATTAAATTGTTTACCTAAGTACCTATCGTTTGCACAGAAATCCAATTTCTTTACAATCTCAATACTCACAGCTCTGTGATAATGGGGAATAAAATTTCACTATCCACTTTGAACCTGAAAATATAATAATAAAATAGTAAAATCATAGTAATAAAATTGAACTTCTCTAGTTAGGTGGAATTTTATTCTGTAAAAAGTATATTTATTTCTTTCTTTGACATTTATTTTGTATCTCATTAATTTGTGTCCTTGATAGGTTTACATTCATTTTTTATTATTTAAACACTACTAGAAGCAAAACTTACTTCTTAATCCCTTCAAAATATGTTTCTTTAGTAGTCACCTTACTGTCTGAGTTTATTCCCATCTGGAATAGTGATTCTTATATTACACAAACTATTTTAAGATTCTGTAAAATTAATGTACCTAATATAGAAGGATTATGAATATATGAACATCATATATGTCACGTGATTTCATTATAATGGAAGTTAAGTATTACCAAGTATTGAATAGATTTGTAAAGGTTTATTTATGATTTATAAGAAGTATTGTTTTTTTATAAACAAGAAAAAACAACATAGGAAATTATATATTTTTTTCGATCTCAAAGTATACATATAATTGTTTTTTTCAAACAAACCAATGCCCTTTACAGGTCACGATCTGACCTGTGAAATGATTTTGACTTGTGAGATTTGATTGGACCTGTATAGGGCCCGATTTGATGGGACCTGTATAGGGCCTGATACGTTGCGCGTCGGTTTGTTTGGAAAACCAACCAACTGTGCTGACTTCCCTGGAACAACGAGCAAGAAGCTCTAGGGATTACTCTTTTCAAATAAACTTAAATGCTATGGAATACACTTTGAATCAGGAAAGACGACATTTGTCTAGATTCCACGCAAATCGTGGAATCTGGACACATGTCGTCTTTCCATACATCTTTATCTAAAACGCAGTCTTCGATTTTGCAATATGACTTCACGATTAAAATACTTTTAATGTAAGTTTTAAACTTTGGAAATGATAATTTTAATACATGCTCCAGAATCTTACTGTAAAAACGTATACAGTTCCCCATAAAAGAATCGTTTACCTTAGTTAAACGAAATCTTGGTATCATGGGTTAATATCATGAATGTACCTTCTTTCTTAATGAAATATGCTAATTTTTCATGGGTTAACATTATAGATATCTTCTTTCTTAATGAAATTATGTATATTTTTACGGGCATATAAAATTTTCTGAAAATGTACTGTGATGCCACATTGCCAGTCATATACCAGTCTCCTTAAACTTTTCTCTGAGAGAAACCCGAAAACCTAAACGGTACACAGAACGAATCGCTCGTTTTTGCAACACAAATATGGTTTGTATATCTGCCGCTGTGAGAATCCCGTAGGACATTATATTCTGGCAGTAACTAAACTATTCTAGCAGTATCAACATCGGTAAGTTCACGTATTCTACGGACTGCGTATACAGCGGTGCTTAATCTGCTGGCGAAGTCTAAATTTTCTTAATTTATTTCTACGACTGGATCGAAGTATTGACCCCTGCGGAACACCCATTTTTACCGGAGAACCCAAAGAAGGCACTCCATTTATGTCTACTTTCTGAATTCTACCGTAGATATATGACAAGTTCCAACACCTTGCCATTTACTCCGTAATATTCCAGCTCCCCAACAAGAGTAATATGATCAACACAATCAAATGCCTTTGAGAGGTCACAGAAAACACCAAAAGCGTTCTGGGACCTTTCCCAAGCATCAAAGATGTGTTTTAGTAGCGCTACCCCCGCATCGCTAGTCAATCTACCACTAGTAAACCCATATTGTACACTATGAAAATTGTGATTCCTACCGAAACAGGGCAGTAGTTGAGTCAGCATAACCTTAAAAGCCGGTAGAATGAAAATTGGTCTATAGTTGCTAGGATCACGTTTCCTACAGCTTTTGAATAAAGCTTGGTTAACCCTAAATCTTAAATGATAAATATATCATACATGTTGCACAGTCAACAGCACATCAAGTTGTACACTTTTGTTCGAATGTGGCCTCCAGTGCCACGGAACAAGATCCGTCAATGTGTAGCTTGATATGCTGGACATAATATTAATACATACTTTATTTTATAAAAATCATCCTTCCATGTTTAAAGTAATAAACCTGCTTACCAATAATAATAGGACTTCAGGTTTCAGGTGTTGGAGTACTTTACAGAGCTGTAAACAACAATTAAAATTTAAAAAATATGAATAATTGAGTCAGGGAAAGGATATCACATCCATTATTTCTTCCTGTGCCTTGAAAAGCATTCAATTAGCGTTGTTTAGATATATTTCAAAGTTACCTCTTTTACATAATGTACTTCATCAACTCCATTGTTCTTCCTGAAATCGTCGAAGGTCGGCGGTTTGCCCATCCACATCTGATTCTCCTCGGATATGTAGGGCACAAACAAGTGGGCCTTCCCTGTACTGACATCCAGTGCAAAGTAGTACCCTGGCAAACGGACACCACATATCCATGTGAAGTACCCTTCCTGATGGGTTTAATACAAATATTAAAAAAACCGACTTCAAAAGTACGTGAAATTACGTCTATTTGCTAAGTTTTATTGAAATATCCCCTAGTTCGCCACTATACAGGACTGACACTGGAGATAATAAAAATCGGTTCTCACTACTCAAAGTATATTGAGACAAAAACGCCTTGAATTGGAGAAATAGCAAAATCAACCATTAAAATAATTGCTCTTAAATTAAAGTTTAGGCGCTATTTATAAAAATGAATCTTCATGCGTGAACAGCCACCCTTAGAGGTGGATGATTTCCTTCAAAATGAAATGGGACCACTATGGAAGTACCCCCTTTCCAACAAAAAAAAGAATCATGAAAATCGGTTCACGAATACCGGAGTTATCGCGTAACATACAAACAAAAAAAATAAGCAAAAAAAACATACAGTCGAATTGAGAACCTCCTCCTTTTTTTAAGTCGGTTAAAAAACTTGATAAGATTTTACAGATTTAAGGGTAAGGCCGTAAAATTGGGCCCTTGTAACATAAAACAACTCAAACGTTTTAACATAAAAGTGTTCTAAAGGCAGATCTACATCAGAAACATCTATATTTGAAATTTCAAAATTACTTATTTGGAAATCTGCATTTTTTTTAGTATTAAATACGTCACATAAGTAACGTAAAAGCTAGCCTCTCTACAAAACATTTACGGAATTATACCAACAATACTAACTCCCAGTTATGTTTAATATAATAATCTGTTTCTTAAAACGAAACAATGCATTTTATTTTCAAATCAGCTAGAAACGGTTTTTTGTGACGAAGAATCTTCGGTATGTTCCGAACGACGCCCGTACATGCACAAAAATGGCCCACCATCCCACCAGTAAAAACTGTACCACACACAACAGTGTCATATGAACAAAAATGAATTCTACATCCCAACTGCTACATTTTCTGTCCCTATCTACCGACCCGAGAGATAGGGAATTGCGGAGACTACGGGCTCCCCGAAAAGACCAGGGTACGGCGGGTGTCCGGGCCAAGACCTCCGCCAGTGACACGCCTTCACGGGCGTCTCTGGTAGATCCGGCATTGGGGGACTCGCCGGAGTTTGTGGTGCTGCAGAGATGGAAATGTTCGTCTGCTCTGGTGGTGTGTGGCTGGGGCATCTGTCTCGTGCGCAGCAAGCGCGTCTTAGTAGCGGTCTAGGAGACGCGCGGGGCATGTGAGTTGGAAGCTATATCCGGACATTGTCGCAGCACTGCGACTGGCTTCTCTGGGCCTAGCCCGGAGAGCTGGGATAAGCTAGAGATCCTCCGGTCCCTCTAGCCACTTAGGTTATTGGGAACTGAAGAGACGTCGTTTTTCGGTGTCGGAAAGTGAGCGTGCCTTACAGCTCCGCCACCAATGAGGAGATTTGGTAGTGGACTCAAAGTCGACGGCTTAGCGGTGGCAACCGATAGTTGTGCAATGCGCAACGGGAAGTGAGCGTGCCTACAGCTCCAGTACCTATCTGAAAAATAGGGAGGGTACTGTACGTGTACCCGGGGCGGCTCACTCGAGGCACTAGCCTCTCGAACCGGATGAACTCGGATGAAGTCAAGTGACAGAGTTCTGTGACAACCCTGTACATTAGCTGATCTGGGTCAGAACTTGAACTTATAAGGTTTTTGTGCACGCACAGGTTTTAGTGCCCTTATCGTATACTCTAAGGGTCACTATAATAAAACTAATGTAGGAAAATATGGGGCTGCTAAATTTTAATTAAAAAAGGCAACATAAAATGTTTAATATAAAAGCATTAAATCTGAGAATATAATGTAATGTGGCATAGGAGTATTATTTAAATCGACAATGTCGGCGAAAAGCTAATAAAACAAATGGTATTAAGAAAAAAAAAACATTAAATTTGCTAGTACAAATTAAGAAAAAAAAATTGTTTCAAATTTTACTAACGAGGGGAATTTTGGAACACTTTAGTTTGTTCTAGAATAGTTAAGATCGTGCTCTAAAAATATTTTATTTTAATTCAAAAACGCAGTTTCACAGATGTTTATACATTCGAACTACTAGCGGAAGTGTCGAATATTAAAAGCAGTGTTTAACACTAGATTATTTTGATACTTTTTATTTAAAAAAACTAAGTGTCATTTTTACGACCTTACCCGTAAAGAAAATTGGTGCCTTAATGACTGCTTTCATAAATGAGTGCTATAGTTTTTTTGAACGGATTTCATAAAAAGGAGGTCTTAATTCGACTGTAACTTTTTTTGTATGTATGTTATGCGTTTGTGAACCGATTTTGATGATTGCTTTTTGTTGGAAAGAGGGTACCTATATATTGGTCCCATTTAAATTTAAAGAAAAGATTCCACCTCTAAGGGTGGCAAACTAGGGGATGAATCCGGTTTCGCACACTTTCCGTTAACCGATTTTAATAAAACTTGGCAAATAGATGTAATTCCAATAAAAAAGCCGATAAGCAAACTTCTGAGGACGGTTTTTTTTAAATAAAATGTTAAATTTTTTAACAATTTTGGATATTGGACCCTAAAAATTACCAAATTCTTAATAGTAAATGAGTTGTATATCTACCTGCCGCACAATATTCAAGGACTTCTTTACGACTTTCGGTATCAAGTGGTCATGTACAAAATATAAATAGAAAAATGTAAAGAAAATATTTTTTGTTTTGTTATGGCTACGAAATTTCATACATATAAGTAACAAAACCTAAATAATCAGTAAGTAAAATTAGTACAACGATAACGCTTACCACAAACGTAAGGCACCAGTTTTCGTAAATTGCCCGCCTTGTCATAACATGGTCATAACTAACGTACTTGCATTTTGGTACCTTATGAGAACTAGTTTTTTTTTACTTTGAAAATGTAAATTAAACTAAACAAGATATAAAAAGCTGCTTATAGGGGGTTGTAGATCTCGTTTCGTTTCCAGATTTATGTTAACAACTAAATTTCGCTAAAAATATCGATTAAGTTAGTTATGATATGGAGGACAGTAATGCACACGTTACGACAATAAATAATACACAACTTACTTGTCGAAACAAGTATTCGACATCGGTATTGTAATAGGGAATATCTTCACCGCCTTGCAACACTACTATTTGTCCACTTTTCAGCTGACTCGCCAACCGTTTTTGGTTCTCCTTGAAAAGGGAAGAAGGCACCTTGGGGGTACGAGGACTCAAAGGGCAGTCTGTCGCCATCGTCACTGTTTGAAGCTAAAATGAACTCGCTGTTTGTTGTCGCTCGACTTATAATGATCTTATTGCGAGCTATCGATAACAGCAAAGTATAGGAGAATGGAGTAATGCCGCGCGGCTGATAATTTAGGACTTCTGTGTGTCTTAATAACTACACGCTACTTAGTGTTTACAGTGTCCCAGTATCATAGCCTGACACGTTTTACTCTCCGCATGAACGCTATCATTTCATTCTGAGCGATCATTCGAAGACGATGCGTGCTGTAAGTTCTTATTCACTATAATTTTACCGGGCGTTTTCGGTAAGCCACATTACATTTTATTTTAATTAATTGTTTCAACATATTTGAAAGGTTAAAATATTGTATAATTGATCTGCAAAATAATTTTGGAAATGTAGTTTGCTTTTTTATATTATTTTGTGAAGTGCCTGTGTTTGACAATTCTGTGCTTAGAGCACGGTATAATCAGATTTGGGCACGGAATTGTAAACTTCGAAAATTTTATTTGCATTATATTTATAGGAAGTAGAAAAGAAGAAACGGGGTTAAAGGTTAATCTGCTAATCGGAAAGTTTCGAACAGCAACGTAAACAGTGAAAAGGATAAGTTTGTGGAGAACGCGTACATACAAAATGATAAATTGATGAAACAAAATTTTTGGGCATTACTCTTGATAGTCACTTGGGCTGGAAGACATACATATATCAATAATTTAATTACTAAACTTAGTAAATACGATATGTTAATAAATGTGACAAGAATATCACAAAAAACTGCTCTTTGTGCTTATTAACCTTGTGTCGCATTTTGTTCTTTGTCCTAATTTGCGATATGGACTACTGTTCTGGGGAAATGCAGCTGCAACACATATTATGCCACTATTTAAAACCCAGAAGAAAATTGTCAGGGTCATGTTTGGTGCGAGTCAGCGAGAGAGTTGTGTCCCTTACTTTAGGAAACTGAAGGTATTAACCCTACAATCGATGTGTATTTACGAGGCCTGTGTTTGCGAAACAAAATCTAGGCAGCTTTAATATAGTCAAAACTAGATTACATAGAAACACAAGGAATTAAATAGAATACGGCCCAAACAATGCCCTAACTTGGAATTTTACAGTAGAACGATGTTCGTTTTAGCACCCAAATTATTTATTAAATTACTGGACGCTGTTAAAGAATTAAATTGTTGACAATTTAAAATGAAATTGAATAATTTGTTACTTACTCAATGCAATAGCATTGAATTGAATACAATATTGATGATTTTTTACTTGATAAAAAAAATGTTAAATTGAACTATTGCATGTTATAGGAAATGAAACTATTTTTACGGATTTAAATCGCGTATATTTGTTTTTTCAAACAATCCTTTTCAAACAAACATTTAATATTAGACATAACTGGTTGAAGACTGTACCATCTCAGTTAACCGTGACCATGTGACCTGTAAAGGGCCCGAAACGTTGGTTTGTTTGAAAAAATAAATATACGCGATTTAAATCCGGAAAAATAGTTTCATTTCCTATGTGTAACAATCGCGAAAACCTAAGAACTCGATATTGCATGTTATGTTTTTGACTTCCTATTTTCTGGGTTAATTCCAATTGTTATTGTTTAAGTATCGTATTAATTTAATTTTAATGGATGCTACATCAAAAGTGAAATAAGCATTGTGTAAAATATTCACATGCCAAGTCTTGGTGAAATACGATCTAAATATTAATATATAAATCTAAATACAATATTATAAGACCTGAATTGTTAACTACATTTTTCAGCGAATTAATTATTCTTTTTTTTAAATATTAGTTTCACGGCATCTGAATAAATCCATCAAGCCAAATCTTCAACTTTTTTTCCTATCTTTTTAAATAAAACTTTCTTCTTTCAATATACTCTTCTAAGTATTTGAAGGTGTCTATCTATATCTCTTCAATGGTGGGAACAATTTTGCATATATATATGTTCATAAGTCTTCGTATTCTGTAGTAAAGATGGCAAAGGGCGGGGGATGTCTTTTTTATAAATCTTGGACAGTAAATTGACAAAACAAAGCAAAAATAACAAAATAATTTAATAAAACAAATCAACACAAAAAGTAACAAAACAAATAGCCAAAATTAAGACTTGAATATTTTCGAAATACGACCGAATGCAAGCGTAGTCCCAAACGGAATATAGTTTGATAGATGTAAAACAAACTGGCCGAAACGTTATGCGCACCTGGCATGAAAAGCGGGTAAAAGCAGACAGGATAACTTCGAGTTTGGTTTTTTAGACGTCTTTGATATGTTTTGTGAAAGCCAAAAGGATATTGATTGTATTTTATATATTTTTAAATAATAAAAGTAAAGAAATTGTATTCGTACTTATTATGAACTGAGTTTTAAAAATCAGTTTTATATAAACCTAGTGTAATATTCTAACGTAATACAAGCGTTATACAGTATGACAACAAAAATACTGACAATTTTAAAGGAGCAGACTGTATAATATAAATAAAAAGACATGTTCTATTTTTATTCAGATACTTGACAAATAAATAAGTTATGACGCGTTAAAGTTTTCCGAGAAATTATGAATAATATTGACACCCGACAATTATTAATAGTCGCCTTTGCCATAGCAACGTAGGCAGAGTCAGTGCGTGAATTTATTGACCTCGGTGGTCGAACAGTTAGCTCTGTGGGCGTTGCTCACCAGTAGCGTATAATACTTATTTTTTAATAACTCATACAGAATGATAAAAAAATCACTATTAATTTTTTTCCTGTGCATAAGATTTAGTCACACAACACATTACTGATATAAAATTAAAAATCCCCATTTTATTACAGTTTTAAAATGTTAACATTTCCCAATAATTTGTAACGCGTGATTTCCTCAAAATAGTAAATGAAACTCGAGCGACTAACGCTACCATGTCTGGCGCGACGACGCGACGCGTGCGCAAGCTAGTAGTCGTCGGTTGTTGGTCCCAGAACTACGTGTTGCATTGATCATCGGGAGTATTACGAGTGATTCGAGTTTTATCGAAAGTGGTTGAAGTCTTCACGAGGCTTGAAGACTTTGAGGTTGAGAGCGTCTCTCGTCTACGAGCTCAGGGCTTGGTGGATCCAAGGGTTTCTCAAAAATACGCAATATGCTGTAAACCAGCGCCTTCTTCGTTATAATTATTAATACAAAGATCGAACACTTAGAAAAATTCCTTCGATCCGATCGGATTCGAACCGACGGCGTCTAGCAAACCGTGCAAGAAGCTATGCCAACTAAGCAATAATTGAATATCAATTCAATACAAATTTAACAACGCCTTCTTGACAAGGGCAAGTTTACGTTATCAATTCACGCACGCGGAGATGGCTAGCAGCGAATGTCCGTAGAAGTTGAAGGTGAAATGCTGTGTGCATATGCTATAACATACGAAACCGATGGATAGGCCGCGGTGGAAGTGTGTATTGGCCTCCCAGGTCAATCGATGTGATTTTATTTTGTGAGATGAATGGAGTTAAACGCAGTGTGTATGTCAACAAAGCCCAAAGCCGTGACGAACATAAATCATGCATCATCGACGCATTTGACGCGTTAATAAATAACCGTGCAGTGCTTCGAAGATTACGGAGGTACGTTATTACAAATAAATAAAGGGCCAGCAACAACCACAGCACCAACACCATTACCCTATCATACCGGGAATCGAATCCGGGAGTTCCTCACTAGCAGCGCCCACGGAGCTAACCGTTCGGCCACCGAGGTCAATAAACTCGCGCATTCACTGCCTGCGTTTGCTATGGCAACGGCGTCTATAAATCGTCGGGAGTTAATACTGTTCACAATTTCCCGGAAAACTTTAACACGTCCTGACTTATTTATTTGTTAAGTATTTAAAAAAAATGGAGTTTGTACTTTTTATTTCTAAGATACCTACCAAGATTTAATTTATCTACACTAAGTTTTACAAATTATTTTATTGAATGAATTTTTATTAACTTCAGTTTATTATTAATTAATAATAGAAATTAGAATAAACTAAAACACATTAATTAGTACTGCAGTCTTATGTCTGTTTGGGTTTTTTCATCAGAGGAATCTGGGTCCCAAACTGGTGGTACGGAGAAACCATCTTCCCTGTTGATTTTAGGATGTTTTTTAATTACCTACCTTGACATATTTTGGCATATTCTAAGCGCCTGAATAAGTATTATTAGCAATTACACGGAGAAGATAAACTGTCTTTTTAGAAGACAATTTTTGCAAAGGGGTTTTACTATTTTATTTATTACTATTTAAATTACTTTTTATAGAAGCTTCTTAAAATAGTGAAAAAAAGTATGTTTAGGTACAAATTAGGTAGTAAATAGTTTTATAAAAAAAAGTAAATTGTATACTGCTAGTACCATGAAAAATGTAAAATGGTCAGCCAACCTGAGGTCAGAATGGCTGGCAACTTTATTTCTTTAATATTTTCGTTAGCGCTAAGGTACAAAATATATCAATCAAGATACTAAATAGGTAGTAAATTATGAGCACAGTTTGATTTGTATATCTTGTTTGATCCAGCCATCCTGATGGACACCCAAAATCAGCTGCTATCAATGATTTACCATAATTACAATGTTAAAAGCATCACAGCTGTGTCACTACCACATTTTGTGCCCACACTAAAACGCCTGTGCAGGTTAAAACTGCGTAGTGTCCTGAGAAACAACGGAGTCAATACAACTAAAGCGTTCCTTTATGTAATCGACAATTTAGAGTTACCTTTAATAATGAGAAACTATTTACCTTATCTGTGATTAGTTTTTAAGTGGTATGTTTATGACTGAGTTATAAAACAACCATTATTATCATGATAATATATGATTTATTATTTACAATTCAATATACAATATGAATAAATACAAAAAAAATGTATCTTAAAAATATTTTTCTTAATAAAAATATACATTGTCTTCTATCTCATATTATTGTATTATGTACATTTAATTGAAATGTACGAATTTTATAAATATTTCACCTAATTTGTAACTTGTTGCTTTGGACTACTGTTTGAAATTAGCACCATTTGCCATAAATTCTTCAATTTCAGCCACACTGCAAAAAAGGCACAAGTTAATTTATGAAAATAAAATTAGTACAATATTTGAATTTTAGTGTTTTATTACCGGTGTTTATAGATTTCTCATAAAAAAGACAAATTCTTTAATGAAGGTTAATTTTGCCGAGCAGGCTATCTATTTAGACTTTAACAAATATACTCGGTAATTACTATCATAACTACTAATATGTAAAAAAAAATGACTTTACTCACGTTCTGGGAACGAAGGTAAGATTCTCAACACCATTCTCGGTGATAAGGACATCATCTTCAATGCGTACGCCTCCGAAGTCGAGGAAACGTTCCACCATATCCCAATTAAAGAACTTCGACTGGTCGGGGTTGTCACGGGCACGATTCAAAAGCTAAGAAAAAAATTCTATAAATATTGAAATTTTCTTATTTTGAAAGACTGAAGAGACATGTCATTTGATATAACAATAACCATGTTGCATGTAATTTATAGTGTCATCTGTTGTCAAATAGTAACAACTATATTTTTTTCGACAAATTACAATAATAACGCAATACACTCATAGCCCCGCACTAGGGAAAACCTGTGTCGCGGGTGCCATGGACCACACATAGACAACCACAAATTACGCCCAAAATCACGAGAGAAATAAATGTAGGCCGTACACATATTTCTCCCGGCCTGGGAATCGATCCAGCATGGTAACCGTTCAGCTACGGAAGCAGTTTACAATGCAACCTCATTACGCTTAAAAACACTAAAAATGTAAAAAGGTAAATTGTTAAGGCAGCCTTTAATATATCTATATATAGTCCAATAGCAAACATTAAATTCAAAAAGAACGTCCTCTATTATCAAAAGTTACAAACAAGTGGTATATTAATGGTACACATTAAAGTCTGATATAATGCAGTTGCGTTCGTCGTCTGTAGTACTTATTGTAGGCAGATTGTTGTTCGCACTATCAGTATTATAAAGGATTATAATTGAAGTTTGTAATATCACTTACGCGTTTAATAAAATAGCATCCTGGTTCAATAGTTAGCAGCATGCCAGCCTGCAGCGTCCTTGCGGTGCGCAGACGCGAGAGGGGGCCGTCGGGGCGCGGCGGGCAGTGTGGCAGGTAGCCGCCTACGTCGTGTACATCCAGCCCGATCAAATGGCCGAGGCCGTGCGGTTGCAAAATACCATTTACGCCCGCCTGCGAATATCATTATTTAACAATAAATAGGCAGGCAGCCAATGGCTATTGTGGCCATATCTGTACTGGTCATGTACTGGTATTGTCTTTCGGCACAAAATTACACACACTTAACCACTTTAAATTTTTATTGAATTGATATTCAATTATTTTTTATGTGAAATTACTCCACTAGTTTGTTATAATTATTAATACAAAGATCGAAAGCTCAGAAAAAAATCCTTCTATTAAATACAGTGAATAGAGACATCGACATTAGATACCTTTACAGCTACCAGTCCCGGCTAGAGGGCTGGTAGCTTTAAAGGTATCTATTTGGGTGACGAAATTCATAGATTTCTCATAGATGGCGCTACGACTAAAAAGTCGTTGAAAAACCAAATACAAAGACACGACAACAAGCACATAGAAAAATTCGTGAGGTCCGCTGGTTCATTCCGTGGCTTAGTTGGTATAGCGTTTGGCACGGTATGCTAGAAGACGTCGGTTTGAATCCGGCCGGATTGAAGGAATTTTTTATGAGTGTTCGATCTTTGTATTAATAACTATAACTTAACCACTTTACTACGTAACAGACACATTCCTCTCATATAAAATCGAAAATACCTTCGGTATAATAGCCTCCTGAATCTGACTAATGATAATGACACTAGGCACTCACTACGAGGAAAAAGGAACCTAAGCACGTGCTCAGAGAGGTTATTTTCACCTTTTACATTGCCCGCCGTGTGCAGTCGTGCAGAACCGAATACTCTAGGGTTGTAATTTAAATGAAAGGCTTGTCTGAGACTTAGAAATTACGATCATTTATTTAGTATAAAATAATCATATGTATAATATAATAATTTGAAAGTTAAATAATTCGTTGAAAGACCAAGTACAAAGACACGACGCAAGCACATAGAAAAATTCGTGAGGTCCGTTGGTTCGTTCCGTGGCTTAGTTGGTATAGCGTCTGGCACGGTATGCAAGAAGACGTCGGTTCGAATCCGACCGGATCGAAGGAATT